GCCTCGGCCTCCCAGAGTGCTAGGATTACAGGCATGAGCCACCACGCCCAGACTGCCCTTATTACTTTTGACAAGCTTACCTCTGGCTGCCGTGATATCCTTTCACTCATCTATTTTTTATTAGGAAATAACTAAGTTCAATCACTGCTTTCATTTTCATTTCAATTCTTAGCAGAAAATATGCTTCTTCATTTGATGATATCGTTAATTTTTATTTTCCTCTCCTGTTTTCCATTATTTAATACTTCCCTTGAACTATTTCATTTTTTTTGTAAGGTGCTTTAAAATAATTTATATGAAAGATTCAATATAAAGTAAAATTGTCGTGTTTTCAGTGACCCAAAAAAAAAAAAAGTTAAATTCAACAAGACACTTCTTGGGAAACTATGTGCCTTTAGTAGAGCAAAAAGATTTTATAGAGAAGTTTAAAAAATTATTAATATTTATTTGAAATGAATCTTCCTTGGGTTTTTTTAAACTTTAACTGGATCCAACAGTGAATGCTGTAAGAATCAATTTTAAAAACCTGACAGCAGAAGAAAAACCAGTCTCTTTAAATAAAAAAGCCATAAATTTATTGCAAATCTAGAAGTACCAGAATGTCGTTTATACAGAACAAATCAGCAATCTTGTTTTTCTTCCAAATATTTAAAACCTTGATCATTGACATACTGAAATTGGCATACATTTTTGTTTCATGCAGTTAACAGAATGGACATAGAGCAGATCCCTTGGAAACCAGTTATAAATATTAAATCGTATTGAACATTCATATTAAAAAATATGTTGTAAAGTGCTGAAGTCATGTAAGTCTGCAAAACTGCCACAAGCTCAAAGTTCTCAAGCAGTGACAGAGATTTGCTACATCCACCTTGTTTTAGGTGTGTCTGTTTTTTGACAGACACTTTGTCATTTCCTCCCCCCACCCTCCCCAAAGTTTTATAGATTGTCCTATTTCTATGGCTGATAAAATGCTATACAAAATGTAGCAGGTGGTGATGAACTATGCCACTTTCATTTCAGTGCAGAGAAATATTCAAGCTTGTGTGTACCTGTAACCAAACTAGGCTTGTTATGTTTTTCCCCCTGAGTTGTCATAAATTAACATAAAAGATGAATAAAGATGGAGCAGCGAGCATTGACCATCACCTGCACGGTGAGTTTCAGTAACAGGTGAGTAAATCGCCCATAGTATCCTCACACTTCCTCTCTTTACAGAAAACTGCTAAAATGAGAAATACTATACATGTAGTGTAACTCCAAAAAAACAATGACCAGTTACCTGATAGCTGTGGCAACTTAGAACATCAAGTCATGTTTTACATAAGATGTAAATTGCAACTTATAACTTGTAACGTAAACGTCTCTGCTACCCCCATGTGAAATACAGAAATGCTTCGACAGTTAGATGGTTTTTTTTTTAAAAAAAAAATATCAGAAATGCGTCAACAATTCACACTTGATCTTAGCCAAAAGGCCAAGAAACAATAACAATTCAATGAAATATAATTCTGATCAAAGATTCTCAAGTATTCTTAGGTGATAAAACAAATTATTTTAAAAAGCTAAGGCGATTTGCTACGCATTATTTTTCTCCCTTTAAATAGCACATGTTGCCTTTAATGAAACCGAAGAATTATTACAACTTAGCCTTTTATGAGAGTAACTCTACAAGAGAAAAGGTATTCTTTGAGGCATTTAAAGGATTGCAGAAAGGAGGTAAAAATGCTGCTTATGTCTCAGATTTTATTTCTTTTGATTACTTTAATCATCTTAGAATAACTTAATAATAAATAGTGGTTTAAATTAAAGACACTACAATCACATATTTCTCAATAATTAAAAGCAACAGGAATTTTTGAGTGCCATTTTGTATATTCTGTATTGAAATACTTCTGGTAATGACTGGCCATAAAAAGAAGTGGTAGTCTTCACATTTATGAAGTTCAAGTTACATATATTTTTAAAATTTTTGTTTATTGGTCAAATGTTTGGTCTTAAACTATACTTCATTTCCATGCAATATTTGGAAAATTCAGAGGCCATAGTTTCTTAATGAAAACCTCCGTATTTTTCAAAGGGTTTTTGAAAAATCTTTTTATTCATATTTCTGAAATTCAGAAGTCTTTAAAATGATTGAAGATTTTTTGTTTTTGACTGGCCAATTTCATTTCAATGATTTGGGCTGGAGGTTGTTTTGCAAGATCGTCTCTCCCAGGTGAGTGCTCTTAAAACCACTTTTCCAGTTCATGCCACTAAATTAATATTGGAATGTGAACCAAACAGTCCTTCTACTTATCTTTCATATTGCTACTGAATAGAGCCAGATTTATATATAGAAGAGTGTTTGGTTGTTTTTGTTTTGGCTTAAAAAACAAGCAAAAAGGAAAACTTTAAAGGAAAAAAAAAGATATTGGTAGCGCTGTTCACGTATACATTCTCTTTAAAATGTAGTTTTGAAAGTGGAGTAGAGTAGTTAGCTCCTCCACCTCCCTATGTGCCCCCCCAAATCCCCGGGGTCCACCCCCCACCCCCAAGCCGACACAGTGGCTGTTGTCACATGAACGTGTGTCATACTGGCTCTATTTGCACATGAACTCTATGTTCATTCTTCGCAAGATCCATTTCCAGAAAGTCTTCGGGTATGTCTTGTAATGCCTTCCCACGATGGCTCGCTGCCTTTGTCTCACCTGAATCATGGCGCTGGCACAGTCCCTGTTTACACGGTCTCACCAGGGCGAGGCACACAGCAGCCACGGACATGCCAGCTGCGCAGGAGTAGAAGGCCCTGCTGTAGATTTTACTTTGGTCCACCAACAAACCTGGGGGAGAGAGCGTCAGCAGCTGTTAGCAACACCCCCGGTGGACATTCAAATTCCCACTCAGGCGCCCATCAAATGCAGAAACTTCTCAGTTTCTTTGCCTTCTTGTTTTGTTTTTCTAAAGAAAAAAGGATGTTAAAGGCAGAAATCTTGGCTAGACTGGAGAGAAGAAATAGATAAACACACAAGATATTTAGCAACTGAAAAAAAACGAAGTCGCTAACTTGTTCTTCATGGGCTAAGTCTGTCCTTGCAGAGAATCTAAAACATGGGACAGTTAGCTGCACGATTTTTGAAAAGGTAATACACTTAAGTAGGAAAGAGCTGTATTATTTTCACTGGCGTTCACTTCAGGTCTCTTTTATCAGGGTGTAAGACTTCCAATCCCAGGAACTTTAAGGACCTATTTCAGATCTAAGATATGAAGCATACCTATGTCCCTCCTATAAGAAAATATTCTGTAGTAATCAATTAAGCATGTGCAGAGTGTTGCTCTGTGCTCAATTCCCAAACACCTTTCTAAGAAGGGACGATGCCTTACAGAAGGCCATTAGTTCTATTATTCCAAAAGTCACCTGGGTTATAAAGATCATAAACTCATGGGTTCCCCTCTAGCATTAGACAAGGCAAGATGCTAGAAAAAGCCTGGGGCAGCCTGGACTGCAGACAGAGGTTCTAATCCTGACTTGGTCGCTAATTTACCGTATGACCTTAGGCTTAAATTTTTTGGCCTTCAGTTTCCTCATATTTAAATCAAGAGGGTTGGCTCAGGTAATTTCTAATCCCTGGCAGCTCTAAAATTCAATGGAAGTATAAAAATGGAAGTAGATTTTTTTTATTAGACTAGAACAGGAAGCTAGCACAACTCCTAAGGGAGAATAGACAAGGGTTTGTATTTTGTGTATTTAAATCACCTGCGAGGGGTGGTCCCGCCAGTCCTGCTATGCTCTGGATGAAGACGTAGACCCCAGCTGCAGAAGACATCTTCTCGATTCCCACGACATCATCTTCAGCAAGCAGTGGTATGTGAGTTCCTCCTATCGTTCCGACCATACACCCAAAAAATACGCTACATGACATGAGACCCCAGAATTCAGTAGCAAATGTAAAGGCAAACAGAGACACAGTCAACAAGATGACGCAGATGAGCTCGATGTAAATCTTACGGATGGGCTCTCTGTTGAAGACAAAGCCAGCTGCAATTCTTCCAAACACTTCCGCAATTGCCATCGCAGATAATAAAAAAGCAGCGTGTTCCTGGTCAATGCCCAGGCTGACGCCCAGAGGAATGATGTACAAAGACGGTGCGAAGAATCCCAGTGTTGCAAAGAGACCAAATAATGCGTAACAAATAAAACTTTTCTCTTTCAAAATCGAGAAGTCTAATAAAGGGGCTTTCTTATCGCTCGGCTTGGAGCTCGTCTTCACCAGGACCTGCTGCATGTCAGCCTTCAGCTCCAGTTCCGTGTTAGCGTGACTAGGCACATTTTTAGGTGAGGTAGTTAGTTCTACTCCTGAGTCAATGGAGTCTATTGAGGTTCGTGTTTTTTCATTTTCAAGCATATATTGCACTTCTTTCCGATTTTCGTGGGGGATTATTTTCGGCGACCCTGGTCCTCTGATAATAATCGGTCTCAGCAGTGCCCCGAAGACGACGATGTTTAGCTGTAGCAGGCCCACAAAGAGGAGGCTGTATCTCCAGCCGATGTTCTCCTTCAGAGCCATGATGGCTGGAATGGGCAGGAGTGAAGAAGAAAAGAAATCGACGTCAATAATGGACTCCAGGCCGGGCGCGGTGGCTCATGCCTGTA